GGGCTTTACTTCGATTCCTTTCAGGGGCCTTGGGATTCTAGGAGGCTTCCTACACAAGCCTTGTGAGCTGCGGGCCTTCCTGTTATGACATGTGTTTCGACCAAACGCGCCGCCGAGATGTTCAGGGAATCCATTTGCGGTGTCATCCCAAGGACAGACAAGCCGATTGACTGTGCTATGCTATCGTTTGCTTTTTCCAGAACTCCCACAGATACCCGTGGATCTGTGTTGCGATAGAGCCAACCACGGTTATTCTTCATTGCGTCCGCCCCAGCCCCACATGAACCCCGAGCCATAACGGCAGAAAAACAGTGGAAGATAAAACATGCACAAATGCAATGGCAGACACATGTACTCTTGGGATTGGAGTGGGAAGCAACGAATTACACTGTTAGCATACGTTGTAGCTTTCTTTCACGGTTGTTACACGGACGAACCTCTCGAGCGACTCAACCTATGTGCCGACCGTGCCGGTTTCAAGACCCTCCCGCACAGAACGACCATCTGGAGGGATGCGGTGCAAGAAATCGGTGACAGATGGCAAACCTTGCCTGCACTAGCCAATGTCCAGGTACAGCCGACATTGTTCGAGAACTGCTCGAACCTCTTCCAGGCGTCACGCCCACTCGCACGTTCTCTTTTGGTCTTAGTCTACCTGGTCGCTTGGGAGTTTCTTGGGCTCTGATGTTGCCAGCAAGGAGCAGAACGAGACTTGAATCATGGCTTTTTGTTTGGTGCATGAATCTGAGCTGGAGTTGTTTTCGACGCAGGTGTACTTTTCTGGTAGTGAAGGGAAAGCTCTGCTCCTGAAACAGAAGCTCTCACCTCAGCCTGTCGGAACTTCAGATGTCCGTTAAAGCTTCAGGAGGAAGATGACCTCTCGGGGCGCTTTGTCGACATTTCGCAGAAGTTCCGAACTCCCGAATGTTCTCAAGAAGCAAAGCCAGGAGCCCCATCAAAGCTGAGCAATTGCAAGCTCGAAGCCCACATCCGTGCTGGAATCTGGCACGGAAGATCTCTGTGCAGGTGTGGGAGGCGGTCTCAATACCAAAAAGGCCCGTGGGGCAAGCGTGGCTGTAATTGCGGGCAGTATGAGAGAACTCTGGCCTCAATCAAGCAGCCACTACTGTGGCACAGGGTTTGGATTGACAAGGCCACCGTTGAAGTTGAGGCAACCCCTAGCAACTTCCCAGCGTTTGCTGAGCATGGCCGTGCGACAGAAGACCCTGTTTGGCACTGCTTGCAGAAGAACAGGCGAGAAGTCATGTTTGCAAAAGCACGAACACCCAATCTGGATAATCACTGCATGCAGGATCGCAGCTGTGCTTGCACAAAGCTGCAATGTCCACGATGGTAGTTGGAACCTCTTGAGCAAAGGGCTTCTACTCATAATGTTCGATGCAGTTGCGTGTTGACTCGTCGAAAAAGGTTTCAGGAATTCAGAGATGGTTGGCGCTTGAAGCGCTTACCACGACTTGAAGGCTTTATGGGAGGACGGCAGGATTCCAAGTCATGACATCGCAAGAAGAACTCTGGGCCTTAAGGCAAATCCTAAACCGGGCGCTTGAGAATCATGATCCTGACACCGCGGAGGCTGAGACAATAAATCCCCAGCCCTCATGGTTGAACAACAATTAGGCCAAGGGTTCGTGGTGGCTTTTGTGCTACAGTCTTTGAGGACACTTTTGAGGAATAATCGGCCGTGGCTTAGGACTCCGTGAGCATTAAACCCCAGTGACGCAGGTCGTTCACTCGCTGGTACCGCCTTGTCCGGCACCAGAACCCCCTGAAGAGGACGTGGAGATGTCGTAGGGAGGCCGGCCAAAGTTGCGGGAATGTCAGATACCGTGTATGATGAAGGTTGTTGCGTTTTGGACATCTCGGATTCTAGAGTTTAGATTGGCTTCGTGTTCTTTAGGAGGGGTTTTGCGCGAGGTACCCCCGGATTGAGTGCGAGCGTGAAGATTCCGAAGATACGACTCCGGCATCGCAGTTTTACTAATGCCTAAACTCCGAAGCCATAAGCTCTTGGAAGCCGCGCTCAGCTCGTCCCGTTTCCCGGCCAGGCATGTGCAGAGCTGTCCCTGTCACTCCCAGCGCTGCCCTGCTCAGGGGTCAAGGGGGACTTGAAGAATTAGCCGGATACCCCCGCATGTAAGCTTAGATCTAAGTGCGTATGGAACGTGATGTCGTTATATGTAGGTATGCATTTATGCATGTGTCGCAGTGTATGCATCTTCATGAAGCATGGCGATGTACAGCGCCACAAATCTCTCAGCTTATTTAGGAGAATTCCTTGCCCTGGTCGAAAGCTGTATTGTTTCGCACAGTGTCCGGCAAGACGTTATGAAGCTGGGGCTCAGTGCTCGCCATATTATGAGCTTCTGACGATCCCTCTTTGGCCCAAGCATAGCCGACATCCAGCAGAAGTCCTGGCTAGTTCCAAAGTCGGTCCAACTTTCCGTTGCAGCGAGACGCCGTGTGGGGGAAATCCTGCTGCGTACCTGGAGCACTATAGGATGTGGGTGTTGTAAGCTACAAGGGTCTGTGATAGGCGAGCGAACCGGAAGCTGTAGAGCTCTTCAGACTGACAGACATGTTGGGAGAGATGCTGGTTCCTGGTGAATTTCCGAAGCAACCTTATCTTTGGGGTGAAGGCTGAAGTCTTTTGAAAGCATCTGCTCATGTCTCACACATGATCCTAGCCCCTCGTTTTGAAGGGAGAAGTCAATAATAACCGGGCTCTTTGTCACTTATAGGTTACATCCCCCAACAACTGTGATAAAGCTGGCAGTCAGACGACTCGTCGTGTGGTATTGCTGGGCTTTGAGTTTCTCCGCACCGAAGATGCAATGGGGAGAACTTCGCATCTCCACTTTCGCAGATGCGCCTGCCAGGATATCTCCCCGACCGCTTTTGCACTGGATTGTTGCCTAGGGCAATCCTTGAGAATGCCGTCTTCCCTACACAAACCTTCCCCCTGTTCTATTGGCTGCTTGAGCAGGTCGCTCTATATGTCGAGAGCGTCCGGGCTGCCGCGACTGCCACTTTACGTGCCACAGCGATTTCAACGGCAACAAATACAAGGCATCCTCCCCAAGGAAATCGAAATTCGAGGGCATAAGAGACTCTGAGTTTTTCCAAACTTGTAGAACTGACGAGTTCGTGAGAGCATTGCTGAACATTGCCAATTCAAGCTGTCGCAACCAAGAAGTTCCGAGCCAGGAGACATGCAACACTGCCCCCAATCCGTTGACCAAAACATGTTGAAGACAAGCCACATCCTCCAAAGTCGAGAGCAACGCCTGCTTGCCGCAATGGCAGAGCACCACATCCAGTCCCGAAGCGAATCAGAACTGCGGGCAACGATGGCGACATTATCTGGCTGGGGTTCCCGGCTCTCGGGTTGAAGGAGGTTGGCCGAAGCTGTGCATTCACTATGCACCGTCTATCCCGAAACGCGAGCCCTTTAGCAACAATCCGAACCTCTGGCGGAGAATCCGCCAGAGGCGGTGTCTCGCAGAGCTGTTGCACTCCGGCTCTGCCGGAGTTCAACTTGGGGAATCCCTCCATTCACCGGGGACCCATAAGAGGGGGAGCTCATGATGAAGGCCTCTCGAATTCAGCGTGTAGAAGGGGTCCTACCTCTGGGTTTACACGAGATGGGTCCCCGTCGATGAATCTCCGGTTCAAGGCTGAGGCTAAGCTTTCTCTCACTGTGTGGCAACTCTTCTCATCATGAGCTGGAAATAGGACCATGACCTTTAAGGCCTACATCGATGATTGCTGCCTTCGTGGGCATGTAGGACGGTTGAAGCTGGATTTGCTGTTGATGGCTGCTTCGCTCGTTGTAGTCATTGTCGTTCTTATATCGCTGCCGATTTGGCGCTGTGAGTGTTATTTGCAGCAGTGCATTCACGATGTAATCGATAGTTATGGACACTGTGTTCATCATGATTCGGTTGTAGCTCCGCTGTCGCTGTCATGTTCATGGCTTACTTGTTCCTGTCACTCTACGTACTTCTTCAAAGTGCCTAACAACATGTAGCTTCCACGCTGCTAGAGGATAATGGTTCTGCCAGGTGTGACATGAAAGCAGGGAGGTGCTGTCGCACTGAGTTTGGCTGGTGTGTCTGAACAGATTGTAAGTTTGTAAACAACAAAGCTATATTGAGTACACGGCACTGGCATGCATAAGCATAAAGGTTCTGATGATGGTTTCCTTCAAGGTGCTCGATTCTAGCAACTCGTCGCCGGCGCGCGCGCCGATGCCCTTGCAATTCTCAAGGGACGTGGGGTGAAATCGAAAAAGCCGCCCGTGCACAGGTTCTGCTGAGAATTCCGAGAGCTAGTTACGTCTGGTTCTACCAGTAGCATGAGCAGTACGACTGGCTGCACAGTTTGCCAGTGTTCATATGTGCAACAAATTAACCTACTATTTGTCTATAGCTGTTTCGTTTCAAGCTGGCTTTCGGCTCTGCTGTTGCCACTATTGCCTTATGTTTTGCTGATTGCTCTTGTCGCCCCAACAGCCGTCGTGGTGGTTCTTCCCAGTCTCGTTCTGCCTTGACCGTCCCTTTCGGTTCCGTGTGTCCTACCATTGTGCCACTGCTCCACCATTACAGCTTTCACGACTCTTGCAAGGCTTGCCATGCTGGTCTCATTAGTCGCTGGACTTGCGATGCGCGCTGCAACTTCGCGATGAAGCATCACACTGGCTGTTGGTAGAGGGGGGTTCTTGAAGTGATGGTTTATTGTTGAACTGAGGGCTTTGTTACAAGGACTTTGATAGGGTCCGTATTTGTCATTTGAGTGGCTCGCAGGAAGGCCGCGGCCAGGTCTGTGCACCTTCAGGGTATGGCGTGGGTGCGATGCTCGCCAGGGTCATGCCACAGTTCCGGTGGACGACCTGCACAACATGTGGTTACCTCCGCTCACCGTTGCAATGTGGCTCCTGTGGTTCAGATCTTTGGTAAATAGAATTCTTTCTTTGTGTGACCATGGACGCTGAGGTGCCCGGTGGGTCACAAGCTGTTTATGGAGGTTTCAGAGCAGCTAATGAGCAGGTTTGGCGTCTGGGCCGTTGTGGTCAGAGCACTTCGGTATTGAGGTTTGCAGCCTTTGGGGTGTAAGGATAGAACAAGGCCTGACGATTTTCACTGAAGGCGAAGCTCTGACATTCCGCAGCTGAAAGGCTTTGGGCTTGGACGCTATCGGTAAACCTATGAATGGTTTTGACGTAGAGGGGCTCTTGGGATTGTCGAGTATTGATGGTTTGAAAGAGGAGACGACCATGGCGGTATTTCCGCTGCGGCATCAGACAGTCATAGCAACATAGAATCATCGCCGTGTACAAACCCGAACATCAATGTGAGAGTTGAAGAAGCACCGTACGCCATGGACTGTAGAGCTCGGTAGTTCTGAAACCTTCAATTTGCACCTCGAAATTTGGACAGGACGCTCCGTCCTCGCGAACTGATGATACACACACTATACACAGTCCCTAAGCAGCAGTCGTCCTCGTCAACGCCGTCACCGTCCTGCTTGTAGTGCTTGCGGGGTTGTTTAGCCTCAGCTTCAATGCCGCCCAGCACAGGGCTCCCTGATTCTGAAACGCGGATTGTGCAAGTCCAAGCCCGTAATTACACCCCAAACTGCCCTAACACATTCTGGACCCGACACACCCGCCGTAAAGCCTAAATCCTGGACCCTCCCCTCTCCCAGTTGCTGCGGAAGCTCGCCCAGCGGTTGCGCATCGTGGAGGGCAACCGGGCACAGGTGCTGGCGGCTTCGATATTTAAGAGAGTTTCTGGAACGGGCGATTCTTTTTTATTGCAGTTTGCGATTTAGCGTTTCATGCCATGGCGCAGGATGTATTAGGTCTTGGTGTTGAGGGTTCAGGTTGACGGTCGACCCTGGCACAAGACTCTCGACTTTGCAGTCGGCTGGGCACCTTGGTTCATAGGACGCGGCTTCGGTTTCTTGGCTTTAGGGCTGTTGAGGAAGGGATCCTCAAAGTTTGAAGCTCTCACTGGCTTTGGCATCGGAGGTGGAACAGAAAGGTCAAGAGGGTCTGGGAAAATCCACTTCTTTCAACTTTCCAGACCTAGCCCCAAGCATTCCTGCTCCTGGTTTTAAACGTTTAAAACCCTTCTGACTAATCTAAGCGGGTTGGAGTGTGGAAAATCGAGAGTGGTTCGAGGCGAAGGCATGATGATTCAACTCAAAGTACCGTTGATTGGTAGCTACATTGAGGCGCTAGCAGGATTCAACTTTGTTTGAAACGGGCTTGAGGAAAGGGCCGAAGTAAATAAGGGACAAACAGAGACAAGGTGCCGACTGGAGAAACGTTCCCATATTTAGGACTCAGGATTGTTACAGGGTTTTTCACAGATGAAGAACAGAAAGAGTTAGATTGCAGCGTTCGTTTACACGGGTGTAGACAGGGTGCCACGAGACATGTCGTCAATGCGTCACCGGAATTGGATAATTCTACAGCCGACATACTGCGTCGCCTGGTCCGAAACCCCCATACACTGCCTTAAAGTTGCTAAAGCCGGCAGTACAAGCTATCGCCAATCCTGATGAAAGCTTTATAGACGCCCTATACAACCGTGATCATGCCTTGTACCCCCCTTCTAGCGCCCCCCTGAAACCGCATCCTTGCAGGTCAGCCCTGCGACTCCGAACAATCAGCCCGCTACAGGCTGGGCTTTATGAGGGTTAAGGACTTGAATGTGAGAACGGCATAACAGAGCTTCACGGGAAAGTTGGGGAATAAATAGACGTGCAAAACACATATGACATGTATACATATTGTTTTATGAATACTAATAGTAGGCATACGAATGCTGCTAAAACTACAAATAAATTGTTACATTTACAGCTAGTACTAGTACTAAACCTAGTATTATTACTACTATTGCTGATACCATGACTGTTGCCATAACTACTACTTTGCTGTTACTATTGCTATTGCTACTACCATATTACTATCATTATAACGATGATACAAGCAGTAGCAATACTGAATACTATTGAGATTAATGATGGTAATGATAGCAGCAACCATCTCAATAATAGCAATCATCACCTCATAATCAAAATCATAAGCATAAACATGCCATAGTAGCAACAATATCATCATGATAATACTATCCCTAACTATAATGATAGTAGTAGTATGAATGGTATTATTCATCTTCTTCTTCAGAATACAAGTAGCAGTAGCAGTTGTTGTTGCTGTAGCAGCAGTAGCTGTCGCGCTAGCAGTAGCAGTCGCAGTGGCAGTGGCAGGAGCAGTAGTAGTTGTTGTTGTAGTCGTCGTCGTCCTCGGAGTAGTAGCGGTAGCTGTAGCAGTGGCAGTAGCAGCGGGCATTGCAATTCTGATAATGAGAACACTCAGAAAAACTACAAGTTTTTCAGACCTCGCTAAATTGGATGAAGATGTGGTTCAAAGGTTGAGTCTTCTTGTCTTGGGGGTGGCAGTCGAAGCGGTAGTTGCCATCGTCGTTGCCGTAGCAGTGGCAGCGGCAGCAGCGGAAGAGGACAGTAACTGATCTGGTGGTGGCCATGATCTGCGATACTGCTACTTGCAGGACCGGACAGGCGTGAGCAGCAGCAACGGTAGTAGCAGGAAGCAGCGGAAAGCAGAGCGGCGTCGTCGCTCTCCTTGCTCTTTCTATCCAAGGCTCGCACAGGAGCCAGCTTTAAGGTTGCTGTCACGTGCAAAACCGACCATACAACCGCCAAAACAGGCCATGCATGTAGTATAGGTTGTTGTATAGTACCTCATGTAGTATAGATTTTTGTACAGTGCCTTATGTTCATCTTCGACACTAAGCATTCGGTGAAGCGACCCGAGGCCAGTTCGGCCAGCGCAAGCGCGTTCAGGCCGACTTCGCGATTCGGGACACTGGGGGCTCATGAGAGTTTAGGCTTCCAGAGGCCACTTTCAGGCAGGAGAGACAGTAATTTTCAAGGCAAGCCGTTGCCGGGATGATGTATGGTTTCCAACAGCTCGAAGTTTCCACTGCCTGGCCAGGTGCCACAATGGGTGGTGCATCGTAGTGTTCCTGAGCTGCATGCAGGTTGAACGTGTTGGCGTTGGATTGGTGGACAGGTCTGAAACCTGCTACCGCTGCGCACAAGATCAACCTAATGTGCTTCAGCACTCATTGGATTTGCTTCAATCGTTGAAGCTCACCAACCGTTGTAATGTGTTGCATGCACAGGCTTAGCGACTCTTGGTTGAGAACATGCCAGCGCAAGATGCGAGCCGCACGCACGGACTTCGTAGACCGACTTGGTGTGACCAAGGACTCATTGACAAAATCGGATCATCGAATCTCGATGCCAGAGTTTTAGAGAATTTATCAGAATCCTGTCCATGACCCGCAGCGTAGTGCAAGCAGTGCGACTCGCTCGCTCTCTGTCTTTCCTTCGCTCTCTCTCTCTCTCTCTCTCTCCCTCTCTCTCTCTCTCTCTCTCTCTCTCGCTCGTTCGCTCCATGAATACCCTGTTAAATGTAAGTAGATGGTTACACGACAACTTACTGACATATGCAAAAGCATTAACAGGTATCAGTATAAGTAGTTGAGCAGATACAGATGTGTTTGAAAGAAGTATATAGGTACATAGAAGCAAGTGTACGTACACACGGTCTACAGAAACACTTCTGTTTTCTTACATCCGTTATGCCTCTTGTCGTCGTGGGAGGTTGTGACAGTTGGGGCGGACCATCTGCCCAAGAGCGCGCGGACATGATCTTGAAGCGTGCGTTCGTTAACATGGTAGGTTGTTATGAAGCCGGGGTGCCTTGCAGAAGCCATGATGATCAGAATCGCTTAGGTCATGCTGACTTTGGAAATTCGCGCTGAGGAAGGAACCTGCCTCCTATCCCAGCAGCCTGAAGCTCTATGGGCCTATTCCCGCAAAAAGGGGACCCTATTTTAATGCTGTAAATAGTAGGATCCTTGTTATAAGGACCCATGACATATGGTACACCCTAATTTTGGAAACTCTCCTATTGCCAAGGAGGCCAGTGAGGGCTCTACGCCAGAGCCCGCCGAGAACCAAGCAGATGTTTTTCTCTGTCTTTCTGGCTCTGGGATCTCGCTCAGGCAAGGCTTGGGTTTACAAAAACCAAAGGGATCCGTTGTTAGCAGTCCTTGTAATGTATAGGGGCCTTGATAGTTAAGAATTGGGTTTTGGGGGCCCAGTATACCATAACCCCCTATAGTAGAGAGGATCCTGCTCTTCAGGGTTTTGATGAGGGTCCGTGAGTTTCTGAAACTGCCGCATTCTGGCAGAGTGCAAGCTTAGCCTGGCAGGCTCAGCACCCCGAGGACTCTGCGATGTTCGTTCTTGCCACGCAACGTGATCCTCCTTTTTGCTTCCTGATTCCCAAAACCTGAACACCAAACCACTGGGAAGTCCCCGAAGCCAGAAACCCTTCGCGAAGTTTCAAGTCCAAGGTTCGGAAAAAATCCGTACAACAGGACGACCAATGCTGCAATCCCGAATGGTGAGACCCCGACGAGATGTGAGGCACGAACCCCCCCAGCACAACACTCAGGTTCGGCACAGATCACCACGGCTGCCAGGCTGCAAAAGGAGTTCATGACACGGTAGTGGTAGTGGTGCTCGTAGTAGAATCAGTAGTAGCAACAGCAGGAGGAATAGTTGTAGCAGGAGGAGTAGTACTGGTGGTGGTAGTGGTAGTAGTAAAGTTGCAGGAGAACAAGTAGTACTAGTAGTTGCAGGCGTCGTCGGCGTCGTCGTAGCAGTGGTGGCAGTAGTCGTAGTAGTAGTTGTAGTTGTTGTTGTAGTCGTAGCAGCAGCAGCAGCAGCAGCACGAGTTGCAGTAATGGTAGTCGTCGTCGTCGAAGTGCGTGTTGTTCGTGTAGTTATAGCAGCAGCAGTAGACAGAAGAAGAAGTAGTAGTCTAGCACTCAACTAGCACTACCATCAGCCGTAGTAGAAGTGGGAGTGGTAGCAAGAGGAGTAGGCGTCCGAACAGGTTGGGGCGAAATTCACAAACATGTAGGCGGATGAGATTCAGCGGTCATCTCGTCATTCGTGGTTGTCTTTGTAGTCATGTCGCCAGCATCACCATCATCTTAACATCATAACCATCTTCTTCATCAGCAACATCATCGAGACGTTATCAATATGTTTATCATGTTGTCCTTAGGTTCACTTGCAAAACGCGGAAGATTGAACCGACGACTTTCTCGCCAGCGAAATCTGCTGCATTGAGTGCACGGGCCAGAATGGCTGCTAGCCTGGGGGCGGTTTCAGGCCTCTCACGAGTTGCCGGCGCTGGTGCTAGTGCAGTGGTAGTCGTACTCGTAGTCGACATGGATGTAGCTAGTGCTTCCTGCTGCTGCTACTGCTACTGATACTGCTGTAGCTACAAGATTGGCAGCAGATTTAGCGGGACCAACACTATTCGTGACGTAGTGCTGGCGTGTTTGGATATTTCCATCTCTTTCGATTTGAGCCCAGGTTCTCTCGAGGCGGGCACGCAGTGTGGCTTCTCTGGGCTTCGGAGCTATAGGGTTTCGGGGCTCAACGGTGTAGAGAGGTGTTGGAGTTGAGGAGTTCATGGCATCAGAAGTCGGTCTCCAGTGAGCTGGTGACGACATCCTTGAATTAGTAACTAAGCGAAGTCGTTGGAGCCCGGATTGCTCCAAGCTGCTTCAATGGGCTGTTCTATGACCACGCGGCCAAGACCGCCGCTCTCGGCGCACATCCAACGAGGGGGATTCGAGCTCAAAAACGCTTGTGCTGTCGGGCCTGGCCTGCATAACCAGATCCTGAACGGCAAAGTCGCATAATCCCCCTCGACGTGGCATCTGACAGACTGAGGGATGTCCAAACAGCTGGCAGCATTTTTTCCGACTGTAGAGAGTCTTCGAGATTTGGGTTCCTTGGCTTAGACATTTGGCTTTGTGGGGTAGGGTTCACGATACACTAAAAGCCGTTACTCAGAGCAACCCCCTTCTGTCTAGACTATTAGACTATAGCTATAATAGGGAGCTTTGATAATCGTATAGGTAATTATTTGGGCCCCTATGTTAAACCCCATATCTGCCTAGACTGGACAGGATCCTCCGCTGGGTCGGATGGCGCTCCCTGGCAGCCAAGAAGTTCGGGCGGGGGGGGGGGGGGTTTCGGTATCCAGAAATGGGAGTTTAGGAAAATTAGGGGTGCCTTGTTATGGGGTCCTCACAATAAGGATCCTACTATTTAGGTTGGTATGTTAGGGTCCCCTGCTTTCGAAAACTTCCAAAGCTTCAGCAGCTTCGAGCTTCACCCGAGTTTCAAGCCGGAGGTTGAGGTGAAGTCCCGAGGTCGAGATTTCAGGGCGTTCGAGAATTGAAGCCGCAGCAAAGGCAAACTAGTCACCAACCTTCCCGCCGCCATATCATTGTTGCACCGAGGCCACCGAGGTGCAACCCGTGACGACCGTGGCCAACGCCTCAAGAGAAGCGGGGAGAGCGGTTGTATTCGTTACTGCCTGTTTCTACATGCTTAGCATGACAGCTTCTCCTCACTACTACTACTACTAGTACTACTACTACTACTACTACTGCCAGCACCACCCTTTCGATCGATCAGTACCATCTTCCCACGTTTTGTGAGGACTGTGGTTGTGAGGTGAGTTCAGGAGAAGAATCTGGGTTGGGCCGAGCAAATGTGACAGAAGTTGCTTACAGGGGTCCAGCTTGCAAGCTTGCATCGAGGCAGTGTGTGCCACCTAATCTGGTTTCAAGCTCCAGCTCTGGACGATCAGGTTTTGAAGCTGAATCGTACTTGCTGTGCCTAACAAGAATACTCGAAAGCCAGAAGGCGAATCAAGCACAACAGAAATCGAAAATGGAATGAACAATCAAAACAAACCTAGTCTTGGAGACCCAGGAGCAGTTGCGCCAGGAACTGGAGCAAATGAAGCAGGCACCTTGGGTCGTCAGGAGTTGGCAGTACCAGCTCCATGTTTGAGGTTGTTAAGACTTGGCAACAATGGACCAGCGCTATATACATTTCCAGGGTGTCTATTGCGTTTGATCACATCTTATGTTTGCGAGGTCACGAATTAGGCTCATGATTGTCATGTGTTCGGCATGAGTGATGTGATGTTCATGGCGATGACGACAATGATTCAATGAAGACAGTGCTGCTGATGATAGTGCTTCCTGCATACTCGGCTCTGACGGCGGCTCTGCTGCTGCTGGTGATGCTGCAAACACTGCGTTTGCTACTCCGACGAGGACGACGACTCCTACTTCTACTTCTGTTGCGCCCACTTTGTTAATTCTGCTCCTACTCTTACTCCTCCTCCTACTGTCTACTACTACCACTACCCCTATCGCTACCACTACCAGTACTACTACAACTACTTTCATTATTACTGCAACTACGACTACTACTACTACTACTACTACTACTACTACTACTACTACTACTACTACTACTACTACTGCTACTACTACTACTACTACTACTACTACTACTACTACTACCTCTGCTACTGCTACTGCTATTACTACTAATAAACAATAAAAATAATCACAATAATAATAGTAATACTAATCATACTGAAAAACTACGACTACCACTGCTACGACTACTGCTGTTACTAGTTCGTCTTTTAAGACTGCTTCTCCGACATCCTCCTCCTACTACTACTACTACTACTACTATTACTTCTACTTCTACTACTACTACTACTACTACTATTACCACCAATACTCCCACTTCTACTGCTACTAACAGGTACTGGCCTGGCTTCCACAGAGAAGTCTTTTGTCCTGCTTCTGGCTTCTTGCAAGTCTTCTGGCTTAGACTTCCTGCTGCGCAGGAACGCGACGATGCCGTCGAAAGAGCCGATGCTGCGGAGGCCCTGCCCTAGTTCGTATATGGAC